TATTTAGAATGAAAGATATTTATGAAACGATCTCGTCGTTCTTTTTCTTGTTTATGTACTATTAAGCTAAACCGTCATCTGTGTTTGTTGCCATACTTTTGTTGCAAATTTCTTAACTTTGTTATCGAGATTGCGTTTGCAATTACTTGCCTTTTTTCAGATCTTTAATACTTGATGAGGCAGACCGAATGCTAGATATGGGTTTTGAAGAGCAAATACGTCAAATTTTAGAGTCACCAAAGTTTCAAATGCCTCCACCAACAGGGAATGGTCGTCAAACTGCATTATTCAGTGCGACATATCCACGTGAGGTTGCTCTTTTAGCCAAAGATTTTCTACGCGGTCCAAACTGTATTTCTCTTACACTCAGCAGTGCTGAATCTAATACTGGCACTATAGTCCCTACGTGGGGAAAAGCAGTTCGTAATAAAAATGAAGATGAATTTGAACGACTTACACGAATAATTCCCAAAGAAATTAATCAGCAGTTCCAAGTGGTTGTCGGTAATCCTGAATCCGCTGTTCCGAATCATCTTTTACAGTTAATTCTAGAAATGAAATCTAAAAGTAAATCACTAATGTTTTTTAACACTTTTGTTTAGTACGTTTAACATCTATAGGAGTGGATTTTTTAAGAACAGACCTAAGTAGTATTTTCCCAAGCCTTTTTGAAATTCATAATAAAGGTACTCAGAAATTTGAAACATGTTGGCACGTTCTTTTTAGAACTTAAACGTTCTAGACTTAAAAATGTATATGCTTATCTTGAGTGATATAAATCTAAATGTCTCTTTGATATAGGGAATAAAGTAAACTTTCACATATATAATACACGACTGAATCACATATTAGCCTGACCCACCTATCATAATAGCCCAGGTAAAATTCTTCTCTCGTTTACGCTTATTTGGTTGTAATTGGATAGTGCAAACGCTTTTTGATTTTTATTGAAACGTATGTTGAATCAATCGTTCCAATAATTTACTATATAAAGTCACCGTAGCATTTATACAAAATTCGAGACTACACATCCTATGAATCATGTATCGTATAGGGTGAATAGTTTCAATTCAATAGTATTAAATAAGTGCTTATACTTCGTTTAGTCATTTCAAAACACATATTTGAAAAAGCGGGCAAGTTATTAACAAGATATGCAAATATGCTGATAATTCTGTACCGTACTAAACATTAGTATTCAATAAAATGACTATTATAGGTATTAATGAAAGGAACTGCCTAGTCATATGCATTATTCTTTTTGATAATTGTTTGTACTTCATGATGATTATGTCTTTTTTCAAACACATTTATTCGTTTTTCCAATCTTTCCACTATTACAGTAAACAAATATTTTAAGTATTTCAATTGAATTACTTTTTGAAATAAATTTACTCATTTTAAAATCATACAAGTCAGTCACGGCCTATGATGTTTAGCAACAGAAAAAATCATTCGTAATTTCTTAATTTAGATATCACTAATTTATTAAACCGTTAATTTTCACATTATCGAATCACTTTTATCTTGTTTCTAGGTTTGGAAAGTGTTTGTCGAGTTCTTGTATTCTGTAATACCAAAAGGGAAGTTGATCAAATTGATAATTATCTTTATTCTAACGGCATAAAATCGACCTCTATTCATGGTGATAAAACTCAGTCTTCTCGTGCAAAATCCTTAGATCTATTCCGTAAAGGAACAGCGAATGTTCTTGTCGCTTCATCGGTAAGACGTCTTTTTGCCACCTGCTTTTAAAAATAAAGATAATTCCCCTGAAGTGCATGCAATTAATGATTTTTGTTACTGTTGAATGTTAGCTTGATTTGCAGAGTGGGATTTTAATTTTTCGTTGTATGTTTTAGCTATAAAGCCTCTATTTATAGGCATCACTTCACTGTTTCTGTTTTGTTTCCGTAGTATTATAATTTATTTCGACATTATCACCAGATTTTTCTATGTAATACATAATCATCAAGCTCAATTGAGTTAAAGTACTTTTCGCCAAACAGAAACAACACACCGATAATTTATGTCAGCGTCCAGTCTGACCAACAAACCATAATGTATTATAGTTACATTCTTAATGTATTTGGGTCTAAACAAACTTTTTTATCACGACAGACTTTCAGAATTTTACTAGATAGATAAATCTTGTTAACTCCTAACTATCTATTATCAATCAGCAAACTAAGTTATACGGATGGGGATTTTGATGTTTTTCAATTATTATTATTATTATTGAGATTAAAATTATCATTGTAATTTCTGTTACCTTGGTCTATTTATGTAAGCTATATATCACAAAGATTTTCGAACAACGCATGCGTGTTAGTACCATAGTTTGTTTTTAGTTCACTCATTATTGGCTTTACAGTTCTAACACTTAAGAACATTTTGTGTGAACTATGGGTTTTTAAGCGTACATCACATCCTTATTTCATAATCAAAAAGCATTTTAGGAAAAAGAGCCCTTGATTATTACCTTTTCAGAAATATAATTTAATTTTAAAACAGCTTGTCAGTTGAGCATCCAGTTACTTGTTTCAACCTCCGTTTCAATGTGCGTGTTTTTAACACTATGCTAATATCACTAGCTCTGCTACAGTAAAAGTAACGGTTCATTACACACTTGCTAATCTAAGTTGCAATGTTGATATGAGTCGTCTATTTTACTTGTAATTGGGCTACTAAAAATATCATTTATCTGTCATTTATTAGGTTGCTGCTCGAGGTATTGATATACCCAATGTTTTTGCAGTTATTAATATTGGTCTCCCAAATGAATTAGATGATTATGTTCATCGAATAGGACGAACTGGTCGTATGGGTAAATCTGGTGAGGCTATAACACTTATTCATGAAACCTTGTTACAACAACAACAATCAAGCAGAACAGTATCACGTGGAATTTGCCAACTTTTCGAATCTGTTGGTAATTTAGATAAAGTCCCAAAATTATTGTTGGAATATGCCAATATGGAAACTCAAGAAGGGGGAGAACAAAAATACAATATTCGTTCAAAAAATAAAGACATTTATTCGAAATTTAAACCTCGTTCATTCACAAAAGGTTATAAAAGTTATTCACGTGATGATAGTTCGATGCGATATTTGTAAATAAACATTATAATTCAATCTAGCAATATGTAATATAAACATAATTCACATGTATAATTATATTTGTCTTCATTTTTTATGCCGGGAAAAAAGTATTGCTTAATATATCATCACAAGTATGAAATCCGAGGACAATCTTCACATAATACCAGAACATCGGAACTCCAAATGTGTTGGTTAAATCGTTTGTAATATTTCTGGTTCGCTTTATACTTTTGGAATTCTAACCGATTCTATTTGTTGTATACGAGTTCTTAACAAGTCATTGCAAATGGAATATATCGTAACTGCTTACATCGTACAGTCTATCAACTTTGAAAACTTGACTTTGTTTCAACAATACCCGTAGAGAAAAACCTTCCGCAAATTGCAACGTATTTGTTAAAATATTAATAAACACAGAACATCAATTGAAATAGAATAATATGGATTCGTTATTTCTCTGCTGCCTACAATCATGTATGTGCAACATAGATGTATGATACAATATGACATTGATGACAAAAAGGATCATTGTGACAAAGACTATCAATAATAATTATAGGTGTGCAGTCATTTGGAGATGGAATTCGGAAATAGCGAGGGGGCGCGGCAGTAATTAATAAAGGTCCGGGAACAGATGAGATGGATCATATGCTAACTATAATTATAGGACGTAATACATACGTGTTTGGTTCACAACAGCTTATGTCTCACTAGTGTCGTTGGTTTCAGTTTCCCATAATCCTCCTTCTAACCTATATGTTGGGGCTCCCATTGTGTTCAATCGTATTATAGGCTTCATGACCTGAATCTAGTCTTTCCATTGTCAGAAATCCTCATTTAAATAGAGTCATTCACTTATATTCAGCTAATATACAAAACTGGAAAAACACCTCATAATCTCGTAGATGCCGTTTGCAATCAAAACAAGCACCCCTTAATGAGTTTTCTGTCGATAAACATTTGTGCTTTCCGGCTAAATAGCACAATAAGAACGTAGGAAAGACTTAGATGCCGTTTGTAGTATGTTTTGTTCGAAAGACCGGGCAATCAAACCCGGTAATAGTGGTGCCTGTTGTAGGAGCTCTAGTATGCAGGTCTAACCCAACTGGAAGACCGGTCGTTCAAACTACCAAACAAGACGGTTACCGTGTGCTGGAATTATCTCTGAGTAATCGTTTATTACTAGGGTCCAAAAACTTTAAGCATGGTGGACGGATGTCTTTCAAAACGACCTCAACTGAGTGATAAACATAGATAGACCTTCCTTACAGCACATATCGTTTGAATGTTTCGGTAGAGGAGGGTCCGCACTCCAGAGTTTAATAATAGTTTAGTGCGAACAAGAATTTTACGCAAAAACATTGTAACAGAAAAACCTCCTAGGGCCTAATTTGAAGATCCAAACATGAAGAAAGTACAAGGGGATGGACTAGCTAGACACTGAGAGTGTGTTCATTTCAAAGTGGCTTGGTATATATACAACATCAGAAACACCATTTACCAGTAGTAATGAGTCTGCAGCAAACTGAAAGCTAAAACAGTCCACACTGTTATAGCTATACATATTTTTTGTGTTTGCTTTTTTATTAGTACTACACAAAAAAAGTCATTCACAAATCACAGATATTACAAGTATATCATATGATACATGCGCAGCATTCGTGTTTACCATCATTGTGACCGATTCATAAAGAAAAAAATAAAAATAGTTACAATAAGAATTAAAAATTTAGATCAAGAGTTAATCACTGAGGATAGTTATACATGAATTTTACACAGTTGAAAGAACGATAGAGTAGACAAGTGACACAATATCCACACACCATTGTACGTTATCACTATCATGTCGACATAATGTGTTGATGCCGTGAAATAACCGATTAAGTATGGATAACTTATCACATAGGTTCTAAAAATCTCATGACAAGTTGTACAAGAAAAGCAAATATACTAAACACGATCAGGACAAATAATTTGGAGATATGCCATTCATTTCTATTTTCACCATTTACGCCGGAGTTATTTGTACTTGCGTCGGATTGTGACTGACGTTGATTTGATGAATTTAAAAGTTTACTACGAAGTTCTTCAGCTGTCAGATTTTCGCGAATCTCCTAAAACAGGAAAACGTAAGATGGTGGTAATTTTGAACCAAACTAAAAACTAAACTAGTGAAACTTCATATTTCAGAACAAATCACTAATTATTTAGTGGATTTTTACTTTCCTATAGATATATATGTATGGACGCGGAACTACAACTTCTATTTGCTATTGATTGACCACTAAGCAGTGACTAATGTTATGTACATCAAGTACTTGTTAGTGCTAACGGGATTGTATTCAATCAGACAGTATGAGTCTGAAACATAAGTTATTGATTATTCAATGTATTTTTCATATTTGCTACTAAACCTCTTATCTTCCACATTTGCCACTGAGTTGATCCGAATCCATAAAATCTTATCTTAGACCTTCCGAAACTATCCTCTAAACTACACTGTGAAGCTTTCAGTGTGTGTACTCTAAATTAATCTGAGTAACAGGCCTCACTTATTAAGACTATATACTCTGGCGCCATCCGAAACAGGATAAGTGTGGTCAATCACTCGACCTTGTCTAGCTAATATCGAGATCAAAAGCGTTAGGAACAAGGTACTAGGTAGAAATGGAATGTTCATTGATAAAGCCATAGACCTTTACCGGTTGAAGTGGTTAAGATATGTGTTACGCAAGTCTAACGACTGTCTACTTCATAATATCTGATACTTGCTGAGATAGAAGCAGGTCAGTAAACAGTTAGTGGTCCGTAGGTCACGACATGGTTTTAGTTTATGAAATCATTAACAATTGAAATAAGCCGTATCAGTAGGCGATAACTCCAACTAGTTTTTGAAGATGTTAATGGACATGGTTCAGAATTCGTGGCACTAGTATTCATCTAATTACTTTGTATTCTCTCCCGAGTCTTGACGTTTTACACCACTCGATAAATTCTTTTTCTTTTTGAACTGTTTACTCCAATTAGATATAAAGACTATATCTAGATTATCTCAGAGACCACAATTTAATTAATGCTAATGTTTCCCCCGGCAAACTGGTTCAAATTTTTCCAGGGTAAAAAAAGTCGAAATTATCCTAAGTGTTATGGATGCAGAATAATGTGCCAATCATTATCATGTTAAGTCTAATGATGTCCTTGAACATTAAATGGACATTTCCTATTGGCCATTATTTATTTCATTCGTTAAATATTGTACAAATGTTGTTTTCTATTTTATGGTACGATGTGGTCTGTTTGGTTAGTATATAAATAAAGTATGTCTGAAATACAATGATTCATATCTCAGAGGTTGTGACTTGTGTTCTGGATTCAACTGGCTGGGCTAGACAGGGAGGCGGGACCAATCGGAACTCTAGGTAGTTCGTACGTGTTTACGTGTCACCGAATCGATCTATAATACGTTGCTCTAATCTTTCAGTTAAGGACGCAACAATTGGCACGGGGTAAAAATCGACCCAAGTTTAAAGTCATAACACTAAGTAAGTAGGGATTCAATACAAGCCCGTACAAACACTTTTCTAACTAGGTTCAAATGTCTATCTTATGTACAAGAATGAGTTATTTGACATAAAATCACTTCATAATGACATATGTACGCTATTGTTATTAAAGTTCACTGAACAAATAAAGCCTCTGTCTAGAGCAAAGGTCAGATTAATCGTTTTGATTATTATTAGGTTAAAAGTATATATGAGTACATTAAGCTCGTCAATGTACGTGTTGATCACTAGAGAATAGTCAAATAGAGAATGGCGATAACAAATCAAGAAATCATAGATAAATCCAAAGACAATGAAAAAATAAATAAACTACCGTTCTTGGAGTCGTATTACGGTATAGATAGAATCATGTTTAAATTTATTAATCAACAAATGTCGTGATGTAACTAACTACATTTTACTTCTATTCGGATTGTTGTGGTCCGTTCGCACAAAAAGGGCGGAAAAAACATTTCTGAAGTTTCTTAATACTACCACTGTCATATTTTTAACAACTATATTGCGATTCCTAAGGTCATATGCTGTTTGAGGAACATGTCATAAACGTTATTCATGTTCTTTGTTTCCACACTCAGCTGTTTAAATACTTCACACATATAAATAGCACTAAATTCAATTTAGTGAACACAGTTTGTGTTACTGTCGGTCCAAAGTTCGAGTAAAGAAGAGATGTGCATGGGGTCAGCAACCTCATCACGTAGAAAACAACCTTGCTAAAAATCCTAACCAGAATAAACAAGTTTCACCATTTAAAGTCTACCCTCCAATTTGAAGGATCTTCTCTCAGAAGAATTATGACGCCTCATAGTGAGTGCCAAGATTCTTCGAAAGTCACGAAACCCATGCCCCTTCTAACAACCACAGCAATAATTAATATAGGTACATAGAATTCCCAGACAATGTGAGAGACTGTGAGGACTGAAGTGAACGGAACACGAATGGGGACAACAAAATGTATTTAACACAAAATTACAGGACTTGATAATAAAATTTAACAATCATAAAGTAAATGCTTAATATGCAAAATGTCCATTGATTGTCTCAAAATGACTCAAACTTCATTGTTCTTGAATTTTCATGCAAATTGCATTTTGTTTCCATTTTTTACTGTTCAATCCTCTTATCTCTCTTCTTCCAGACCTTCTGTTTACGACTTATATCATATACTACTTATGTCAATATAAGTAGCACACACCACAGGACTAGCCAAATAACTACAGAAATGAGGAGATACAACTTGGAGGTGCTCGAATTAAGTGAAACACATTGGACCCAAGCTGGACAGAAAAGACTAGATTCGGGAGAGATGCTGCTGTACTCTGGTCACGAAAACGCAAATGCTCCACACACGAAGGGATTTGCTCTGATGCTGTCCAAAGAAGCACGAAAAGCACTTGCTGAATGGAAATCTCATGGATCCAGAATAATCAAACCACCATTCAAGACAAAGAAGAAGAGAATCACAATGAATGTTATCAGATGTCATCCACCCACCGGTGATTGCAACGACGACGCTAAAAGTCGGTTTTTTGAGAGGATGGAATCGATCGTGGAGATGTGACCAGGAAAGGACCTGACCATCCTGATGGAAGACCTAAACACCAAGGTTGCAATGGACTAAGACTGATCACACCAGTGAGTCTCAACATTAACAAGGGAAAAAACCCAGAAAGTTCTTCAAATGTGAAATAGTCAATATCAACCAATTCACACTTGATGGAGAAGCTCTGGAAGAGGCGGAAACCTATACGTATATGGGAAGCATCGTTGATAAACAAGGAGGGTCTAATGCGGATGTGAAGACACGGATTGGCAAAACAACGGCACCACTCCTACAGGTGAAGAACATATGGAACTAAAAACAACTATCAGCCAACATCAAAGTCAGAATCTTCAATACAAGTGTCAAGACAGTTTTGCTGTACGGGGCTGAAACTTGTATAGCAACTACACAACCATCATCAAGATGGTACAGGTATTTACAAATAGTTGTCTATGCAAGATACACCAGATCTGTTGGCCAGACACCATCAGTATTCTGGTACAGAAGAAACCAGTTTATAGCTGAGAAAGGAATTAGAAAAAGATGCTGAAGACGGATAGATCACACTAAGGACATCACCAAACTGCATCACAAGTCAAGCTGTAACATGGAATCTTCAAGGAAAAGGGAAAAGATGCACATACCAGAAGAATGAACAGAAACTAGGAAATCAAAAGGACTGCCCAGGACAGAGTTCGATAGAGAATCCTGGTGGGTGCCCTATGCTCCTCCACCAAAGATGATAGGTGTAAGTCTGTTTAATATAGCTGTTTAGGTACCCTGTTGAAATTTACAACGAATATGTGGCATTATGCAACGACCAACTCATACGCTTGGAGAAGTGTAGAGATTTCCTGGTCTTCAAACGTGCTCTTTTTCTATAAATTTGTGGTGAGTAACATTATGCAAACGTCAATTAATATTACCCATACGCAAGTTTTACATTCCGAAAAAGGCGCATTCTGTGATAGGAGTCGGAATTAGACATTTGAAATGACATGACTATGAATCAGAGGATCACAGATTAATGGTACTAGTTTCGTCCTAAGACTTATTCAAAAGAAGCATATACGTACAAAAATGTGACGTTTTCTTCATAACTATGTGATTTATCAGGTCAAAATGATAGGACCACAATAAGGAAGCAAAAGTGACTTAAAATTATCCTGCAAAATTAAAGCCAGATAATGTCTAGGGAACAAGTTCTCAGGACTGAATTTATTAGTGAATGAAATGAATATAACCTTAGACCTGATTTTTCCAGGGTGACAAATGCTTTTGAGATTTGAAACGAAACCCACATCCCTACAAAGTGTTCCTTAATGCTAATTCCTAACCATAGCTGCTGGCCCATTGAAAGTGGCTGAATTTTGTTCATTCCATAAAATGGTACTACGACTCAGCTCTTTCCCTTGTAAGTACGCCGCCAATACATCATTGCAAACAACTGTTATGTTCAGTCCTTGATAGGTTTTTGACTAGTCTGAGGGTACGTATTGAAATTGGGGAGTGTGAGGAGCAGTATGAGAATCTGGATGAGAGGACGTGAAGAAAAGTAATCCAAAAAGACTCAGTAGGTACATAGAATGCACTTATGTCTAGTAATGGAAGCAATCAAAAACAACTAAAAATGATAATTAGACAATCTGATAATCAAAAGTAGAAGTTGGTAGCGTGCACTGCACCCTGACTTCTCGAAACCCCCTCCCCACAACTCTGTTACAGCTTCAAATGACAAACTATGTTTAGTTGGGTTAGTGTACCATTTGTTAGTCGGGATCTGAGTCTGAATAGTAAGAGAGCATTTCTGGTTATAGAAACGTACTGTCTACGCTATGCTCAGTTTCAAACTGAAGGGTAACACAAGTCAGTAAGTTGTAGCAGAAGTAATCATAAAGTAACATTTGAGTCCATTAACTTCAGGGCCTACAGAGTTCAAGTAAACATCGAGCTCTTTTGAAAGGCTTTGAAAGATGTGTCTTTACCATTGTCTTTGGTAATGAGCCCATATCTTTGTTATTTTGACCAAGAGAAAGTTTGCACGAACTTTTGTGAAAAATCTGTAACGGTAAATAAGTCCGCAAAACAAAAAATTCTGACAGTCTTTGACATTGATGCGACCGCATTAGTTTTACTGGGACCACCTAGCTAGATGCGCTCGTTCATGCATCCGTACCAGATCACGAGTAGGTACTCCGTGCTAAACATACTCAGCGACTGTTACCCACCTTAGATCAAATACCTCGCGACATATCTATAGCGTTCCATATATATATCGTCGATCCACTTCATTTCTAGCTTGACCGGGTTCGATGTACTTCGATTATAATAGTGTTAGGTGTAAAGGCGTTGTCAAACTCCAAACACCTGTGGCATCTTCACTTAGTTTGAGTTCATCCTTAATCAGGCTAATGTTATGTTCACGGTGTTCGATTCTGATACTGAAGCACAGACGTCCTATTTTTAAGCCCTCAGTCAGCTAAGTGAGACGATTAAGAGAGAAGAATAAAGTTTGTTAGGCTGAACCGACTCAATTGCGTAACCAATTTTAAAAATATATGTACCCGATAGAAAATGAAACCATTTCTATCCAATAACATATACTTATGATTGGATTGCATAAATTGGACATAACATTTGGCGAGTACTGATTAATAAAATCTATAATCTTTCATCCTGAAAATAAACTGGGCTCTTGAAATAAACTATGGGTTCTGAGAATACAAACCATTTCTTAACAATCATTTTACATACTTATTTTACTTTAGGTTTTCCTAATACATGTATTTGGCAGGAGCTAGGTGGTCTACTTAATCCAGATGAAATTTCTTTATAGTGAGTCGTGCAGATATCGCGACAGAAAAAATTTTAATACTCCACGTTTCTCATTCACAACCGTCGTGGAATCTGACACTGACTTAACAATACGTTACATGCCAAATTTCTTAGAGTTTATTAAATGTCCGAAATCATGTTTACATTCTGTCTTATTCAATTTTCAAGAGGATCTATTATCTGAAAAAAAGTAGCTATTGGATCCCTATTTCCACTGATCGCAGAGGATTTATTCATGCATTCTTTCGAAACGGATGGAGCCACAAAATGTACGACTCCACCAGAAATCTGTTCACTGTATGTAGATGAAAACTTTGTTGAGATTGAGCAAGATTGATTAGAATTATTCAACGAGGTGGACAATATATCAGTTAGTATTAAGCTTGCCAGCGAGGTCTCAACTATTTAATTTGAAAAAAACACATAATGATAACTCTAATCATTATATTCCGAAAATCGACACCCTCAGAAATTTCTAGATTATAAGCCTTCATATGCTTTTTCTAAAGGTTATTCATATCTAAAATTGGTCGAAGGGGCAATCCACGTTTATTTTGGTGGAGTTTTGTTCTCTGAGCTCAGAGAACAAAACTCCACCAAAACCATCCACCTGAGCTACAAATCTTCTCCACCAATCTACGTTTATGCATTTTTGGCAAACCATATAGCCTTGGTGTCATCGTTAATGTCATTTTTCTTGAAAACCTAGAAAATGGACCACTCAAAGACATAACCAGTCAACTAACGTCTTACTATATAGGTGATACTTCCATAGTATTAGAAAAAAAACATGGAAATGATAATTTACTTAGAATATTGAATAACATTCATCCATCGATTACTTTTACGATAGAGGAAGAACAGAATAATAGCACAACGTTTCAAGATGTCCAACTAGCTAGAAGAGCAGATGGAACATTAAAAAGAGGGATACATATAAAGTCTACAGATGGACAATATATTCATTTCTATTGTGCTGTGCCAATCAGATACAAAAGAAACTTAATAAAGATCCTGACTTATCGTTCTAGAATGATTTGCTCAGGTAACACCATTGTAAATGAATTGATCAATATTGGCAACCTGATGATTAGGAATAGATACCCAACGAAATTCATAAACAAACAAATGAAAAGAAGAACAAGAGTACCTACCATTCCAAGGAAAGTACTGTTCTTAAAACTAAAATTCCCAAATAATACTACCGAAAAAATTGTGACTCAAAGGTTATGTTAGGAGATACAGAACCATTTCATGCAGGCAGAGTGCTGTTGTCTACAACCGCCCCATAATAAGAACAATTAACAAAGACAGATTGCCGAAATTCGCCACATTCATGTTTATTTACCAATTCAACTGCTCCTATGGAGCCAGTTATATGGGGTGTACAATTCGGCAAGTCTGTCATCACATAGCAGAACACCATCCGTCTTGGCTGAGCAAAGGACAGGTAATAGTGTTTAAGAGTTCTATTCTCGCTCACTTGGTGGACACAAGTATTATTATTATTATTTATTATTTTAACACAGATATTGGTACAAGGAGGCACCAAATACATATGCGCCACACAAATATCATTCGATATGTGTGAGGGCTGTGATACTGCCCGGGTGCCCAAACCGAAGCAGGTGGACACAAGTCACCAAGTTGGATTGAATAAAGCTTTTGAGGTTACCCACTATATTCCATCGACTTTGCTGCGTGGTCTACCAGCTCATCCTTTGCACATTGCTGAAGTCATTGAAAACCATGTTCACAAAACAAACCCTTGCATCAAAAACAAGTTTGTACAACCGCTCTCGTTACATTTGCCATCGGTATAGGAGTGAGTTGGTAGCAAAACTACGATAAGTAAACTATGATAATACTCTCAACATTCATACCTTGACTCCTACATAAATACCATAATACTGACCTTCCATCAAAATATTTTATTAGTTCCCTCTTTTCTATAAATTATGCAGCGTATCAACTTCTTGGTTTTCGAATATTTACTTTTATTATAATCCTCTTTCTTCCAATTGCACGATGTTATTTTGTAATCAATATGCCATTATGTAACTATCGCGTAACGTAACTACTCGATGAGTATTATTTCATCGTTGTAAATCATAAATATGTATATTAGTGTAGGACCATAATGAAAAACTAATTGTGAAGAAATTTATTTGCTCGACTCGTTCTTTTTATTAACAATGACCTTCAGAAAAAGCATATGAAGGCTTATAATCTAGAAATTTCTGAGGGTGTCGATTTTCGGAATATAATGATTAGAGTTATCATTATGTGTTTTTTTCAAATTAAATAGTTGAGACCTCGCTGGCAAGCTTAATACTAACTGATATATTGTCCACCTCGTTGAATAATTCTAATCAATCTTGCTCAATCTCAACAAAGTTTTCATCTACATACAGTGAACAGATTTCTGGTGGAGTCGTACATTTTGTGGCTCCATCCGTTTCGAAAGAATGCATGAATAAATCCTCTGCGATCAGTGGAAATAGGGATCCAATAGCTACTTTTTTTTCAGATAATAGATCCTCTTGAAAATTGAATAAGACAGAATGTAAACATGATTTCGGACATTTAATAAACTCTAAGAAATTTGGCATGTAACGTATTGTTAAGTCAGTGTCAGATTCCACGACGGTTATAAATGAGAAAATTAGAGGATTAGAAAATAGGCTGTGATTTAGTGACTTAGGAGTTAAACGTCCTTCATGTTAAAAAAGCATACTGGTTGCGTAAACATGGATTCAGTTGATTGCCACGTATCTCTCACTCGTCTCATGAGTTTCTTTGAAATACTAGTTCTAATTATGTATACAACTCAACGCCAGAATTAAATTCCTGATGACTTTTCTATTTTGTTATAAATTGTTAATTTATATCACCTGCTGTCTGTCAAGCCAAATGTCGATCTTACTTTATCAATATCATTTTAAGAGTTATTAATGCTCGTCAGTAAAGTATGCTTTCACCATCTTGGATTGGACTACACATATGGGTTGTCAAATTATTAGCATTCGAGCACGTATTACCTACAATTTGACGGATAAGCATATCGTTGATTTAGATTTGCGTTTGTTTGTTCTTAAAAAAGCACAAATCGCAGGAAATGATGACAATTTGCAAACAGAGTTGATGAACACATAGTTCGCTAATTTCGATCAATTCAATTTCACATAGTCTTCGATAGGCGAGACTGCAATTTGTGGACGAACCAATCAGATTTACGATAACAGGTCTTGAATTTTGGTGCGAAATCAATCCATTCACTTGGCTCAACAGTTTTGGCATTCTATCTAGTGTCTTTTAGCGATGAAAACCCTAAATCTAATCCTTAACCCTAACTATCAACTGTAGACACTAATCCTAATTACTCACACTGGTTGATTACCCTTATTTAGCCGTAAAGTGTATGTGGACATTCCCAAGGTCTTTTTAGAGTCGCTTTAAGGTTTTTCATAAATTATAGTCTCACCCTTCGATCGATTCGGGGACGCCAATTGATGTCAAGTTTTTATCCTGAAATTTTTCTTACTTTGGCTATTACTATTTGATTCTACTGAATTTGAAGTGAATCGATCCTGTGAGTTAACATGAAAAAGTGGAGGTGCATAAAATTCTGCTCACTGGTTACTTATGTAGATATTAGTGCACATAAATGCTAACCGTAATACCACAAAAACTGGTGTTTACTCTTACTTTAACAATTCCAGGGAATAATTCACAGAAAATTTCAGACTTCAGGTTAAAATCTCCGCTGGTTTTGGCTAGTTGTTTTTTAGTGCATGTTGAAGTCACAACACTACCCATGGTACACGTATTCTCCAGCATAAAACTTAGTAAGCCCGTTAGTATAGATGAAACAGACCATGCAGGATTCCATGTGTCGGGATGAAAATCACTTATCGATAGACACAGTCTACAAGAAAAATCAGCTATACCATAACATTCCCCACCTCGTGTTACATGCGAATCTACCGTTTGGTGTTATCATGTATATTGAAGGAGGTCGAAATGGAAAATCTCTCGGAAAAACAAGTTTCCCATGGTAATAACCTCCTTTATAAGGTGAATCAGCTGGTCCTTTGATGACATAATGCCACTCAAACAAGTTAGTTGGAAGTGGCTCTGCAGTTATATAAGGAACCGGGTCCTTTGAAAGCCTTAGGTAGTCTTGTTTCAATCGCTGTAGTGCAGTTGAACAGTTCACTGAACGATTACTACCAGCCATCAAGGATGTCGTAACGCATGAGTTGATTTGTACGGTTGTTAAAGAAACATTTGTCACTTCGCTGTTTTCTCTACATGTACATTTTTTATTACTTGCGATATTCTTGACAAAGTAAGATCCCCCGAGTGGTTCATTTAGGTGTTTAACTTGATGACTTCTAAAACTCATGAGAATTTCAGTCGTCTTCTCAATTCAATGTGTGTTGACTGCGTTTATGTGACTGCTGAAGTCCTTCATTGTAAACTGATAACGTTTTTCATTAATTTAAGTATTTTGGCTTTGGAGGACCAGTGTGGTTTCTTAGTTTGGTTTTAAACGGGAAATTTTTCACTCCATGTTCCTCAGAATCCTTCTAACATGTTTAACCAAGACAGTTCGTTAATTCCTCTTTGTCTTGATTTATTGGTAAACATTCTCTCCATTCCATATAGTTTTTCATTTCATCCTGAGGTCGCTGAGGAAGTGATTACTCAGTAGGCCATTACAACTATATGGTTTGCAATCTCTAAAGTAGGTCACCTTGTTCGATTCTGGTATTTCAAGAAAACGACTAAGCATGACGGCAAGCCTGTGGAGATATGACTGACAAGCTTATTTTGTAAATAGTTTTTAATATTATTTGTATTTGTTTTGTCAATTTTTCACTGTATGTACATTTATCATTCAACGACTGTACGTGTTGTCTTAGTCAATGACCTTGAAGACACTTTCCGTTGTGATCCCAACATAGCATGACATATTCTTTCTGGCTAACAAATACATTACTACTCACACATCCCTCGTTCTATTTTCGTTTGTGATTGAGTTAGCTGAAGTCTAAATCAAACATTGTCATTATTTATAGACTGTAATTGGAATATATCACATTCTACGTGGGATTATATCACTAGAGAGTTCGCCAACCTGCTCAGAATCATCAAACATTTATAATTGTGGATTTACATTACCAGACCTAATCAGAACACGCAACGTTTGGTCAATTTAAGTAACGTCCCTAATTTTTTATTGCATTTGTAACATTTAACTTGTATATATTAATATTACTACTGATTGTTATTAACTTTGTTGATACCTTTTGCGTTTATATATTGTCTGGTTCACCACAAGCCTATTGAGTAAACCTTTGGTAGACTTAAGTTAAATAAACAAAAAGACGCATGAAAAATAATTTTGGTTGGTAAGCACTGAATCAAAGTAAGCTTATCTAAATAAATAAGCTTCTCATTAGACTCAGTCATGTGATTCATGTTAGGTTTGGCTGAAGAGAGTGTGGTGTAGAGAACATCCTGGTGAATAGAAAGGTGCGGTTTGATACATTCAGCCAAAAGACCTTTAGTGTTGGATTTTAATACGTTCCAGATCAACATTAACGTAGATGAAAACTAAAGGACAAAGTTTTATAACAAGCTTTAATAGTTGTGTGAATTATTAGGCATTATTAGGCAGCTGTCAGTCGATATCGAAGTCAGAGTCTTCAATACGCACATCAAAACGGTTCTGTTGTGTGGAGCTTAGACTCAGTGAACTACCCCAACTATCATCAAGAATGTTCAAGTATTCCTAAAGAAATGTCTACTCAAGATGCTCAATGTCTGTTGGCCAGATACCATCAATAACAACTTATTGTGGAATAGAATAAACCAGCTTCTAGCTGAAGAGGAAACTAGAAAACGAAGTTAGAGTTGTATAGGGCATACATTGTGGAAATGGTCAAACCTCATCACGAGGCAAGCCCTAACTCGAAATCCTGAAGGCAAAAGGAGAAGAGGAAGACCGAGGAACACACCAAAATCGGAATTTAGAAGCAAATATCAAAAGGCCGTATAGTAACTGACCAGGATTGTTTTTGGTGGGGAATTCTGGTGGGCGGTCAATGCTCCTCCATGAGAGGTAACATTTATTAGTTAGTCACCCTTGCTGAACAAGGGGAGTGTTTCAACATTCCTGTGCATTTATATTTAATCCACCCATAGGTGATGAGTCAATTTGAAAAAATAGCAAGTAAATAAAACGCCAGAATCATGAGGGATGACTACTTGTCATCCTTCAGATTTGATTGTTCACCTTGAGGTAGTTAGAAGTAAACTGCCAGGTAGGGTAGAACCAAACTTCTTCTTTGATGAAGACATTAGTACTCTATCCAGAAATCTTTGATTTCAGGTTGAATGTGGGTAAATCTGTAGTGGTATTAGTTCGTAACCTCACGACCTTGGAAGATGAACGTATAACTACTGCAAAGGTTTACATTCAACATGTATCACTTAGAGAAGGTCAAAAATAGTGAACACGTTAATAGCGAATTGAAATAGCTTGTTTCGATCATCCAGATATGACCACCAAGTATAACTCACCAGTTTTGTATAGAATCTCTTTTTCTCTACTCAGCCCATATGTGTTATCTTGAAGTGCTGGACATCATACATGCTGAATAACATGATAGAACGAGTCAGTGTATACTAGGATGTAAATTCCACGTAAAATCTCACAGATAAGTTCGTCAACTAATGACAAATCTACAATTTCAGGGTCCAGTTTATTAGTACAGAATCGAGGAAGGTAACACTATCGAACTAGACAATATTTCTACACATCAATGCAGTTACCACGATGATAAGGAGTTTTTGCTGTTAAGTCACGTCAGAGAACAATATATCATATTAATATCTCATGAAACTTGTAGGTTGAGATTTCGTTCCTTAGTTTTACTTAGTATCGTAGATGTGTTGATGCAATTTAACATTTTTCGTGTGGGTGGAGTGCGTGTCATATACACTGCAAAGAATCTGTAACGGCAATGGAATAATTCTGAACCCTAGCCACAAGTCACCCTTGAAGCTAGACGTACACTAGCCACTGACCGGGAAAAGGCCAACAAAGTTGAGTGCGGATACCCTGAGAGGAGACTTCATGAATCACCCCTACTTATATTAAACAATATTTTATCTTAACTTGCTTGCATTCTCCAGAGGTTCTGATAAGATATACCGCTGACCGACACGCGGAGTAATTCGGCATAAGCAGTTACATCCTTACAACCACATAGCACTGGATCAAGTTCGCTAATTTGGTAGCGAAGATAAGTGCACCAATAGCGACATACACCTTAATTCCATAAAATCAGTTTGGCAAAAAGGCTCTCATCAGAGTTTGTTTGAGTAAACTTTTAGGGAGAGAATAATAAATGAATAAATTCCGGGCTTCAGGATAACAATAAACCAATGTGTTTGTTCTTTTGACTTGACCGGTACTTTGGCCTGTTTCTGAGGTAATGTAAGCCATTTTTAGTGCACACATTTTCTGTGAGTTCCCTATTTTCCTTAAGTTATGTATGAAATTCTAAGGAGACAGTGAAACGTGAACATTGCTGCGCTGGTTAGATTCTGGAATTTGTTTAACGAAGTGTCCGCCGTCACCGTTAGGTCTTTCACATATTTCTGCTTGTCGGTTCCAATGTTCTTCATCACTACCGTGTTTGTTTTACTGTATTTGACTTGTGTCTTGACTTTCTCTGTTCTTGATCAACCGATGTTGACCGATGTATTCTGTTTTTTCGTCTCTCAAATCTTTCTCAAGGTATTCACGGAGATCACCTCTTCGTGTTAGTGATAATTCTGATCCAGCACTTGGCACTTTGATGTCATTGCTTCTTTGATTGCTTTCCAGTTGTTCTCCAAAGCACTTTCCACTTTTTTCAGTAGACACTGTGAGACGTTTTGGGAAAGGGTTAGTACAAACTTATTTTGTGGATATTTCTTGCTGTCATTCACATTTTTCGTAGCCTTACTTGTTCTATGCGATTACTTTTATTGACTGCGGAAGTACTGTTTAAATTGAGCTTTACTGTTTTGTCGAAATTGTGTTCTCTGCTTGAATGACGTTGAACATCGTTCACAAATACATTGCAGTAGATATAATTCTCTTTATCATGTAATAAGCAGCTATGTTAATAAATCTTTAGTATAATTGTCATACACGTTTAAAAATCACACTAGTGTCCATAGAGCTGGATGACGTTCATTGAAATTCTTGCCGTTTTTCTTTTGAATGGTACCATAGTGGCCATATAGCTGTGAGTTTTCCATCTTATAAGTCCTTTTCACGCTCTTTTGGATAGCATCAGTTCAACTCTTTTTGTGCGGGGGTCACTCTCTTTTATATGTGCAGAACAAAAACGCACCTCTCCTGAAACCAGTCTTTACCGTTCGGCTTTCATCTAATAACCTCCGCTTATTCCAAGCACCGCTAAGTTTTAACTTCATGTTTATACAGCCATTTCAACAGATCTCCTGGTCTATCACATTGTAAGGAATATCTCATGTACCTATGTTAATTTTTTCTCTGATTGTCACAAATTTAACTAGCCTGGTGATTTTCGAAGAGTTTCAGCTCCCAAAATGAGGCGTCACAACTCATTACTGAAGACCTACCAATGCCTGGAGCAGAGTTCGAATAGTTAAAACTACCCTGCTCCTTTAAATCTACCTGCAAAAAGCAGTTAATCTAGAAGAGTTTCAAGAGTACTCAACGGCTTGAGAGCATAATGTTTACGATGGTAGACGCTGAAAGTCTACAACTTTGAAGCAGATATATCCACAAGTACAATGAATGAATACAAAAATACTAAGATCGACAGTTGCTATGCAAGTTCACATAGATTAATGGGTGAGTATAACAAGCACAACAGTTGATGTTTAACAATATTGAACTGTTGTAGGATATAAAACATTTTATATAGATATAACACCGGTTGTGGATAAAGATATCAGGATCAATAATTATGGTTCAGAGGTACAATGTCCCTGACAACTTTAATTCTGAGGTTCTTGCCACAGTTCCTCATCATAGTCATTTCGAAATTTTGGTTTACTTATTTCACTATTTCAACTGGTTCAAACTCAAATGTGGTTACTGGCCCCACAACTTACAAATCACTTTCGTTAAGGTGTTGACACCACTTATGGTCTGTCAGATAACATCTGGCGGATAAAATATAAATTGGT